GCTGGTATCATTGTACTTCTCTGTAAACTGTTAAAATGAAACATCTGAAGAAAGAAACCTGTTTTAATATAAAAGTTGTCACGGTTTGGGCCACTGCCATGAAACATTTCTTGACTAAGCAATTGTTTTAAAACAACACGAGCGAACCCAAGACTGGAAAATAGTCCAAAAAATGTTAGTATCCTAATCTTTGGATTTCTAAAATCAATTATTAAAATAATGAATCTATTTATTAGGCTCTGTTTAATTAACCTGCTGGGACTTTAATTCATTTGTAAATCTTGGTTACATGTCAAAACAGAAACCAACATGTTCTCTGAGTCCAATCACGTAAGAATATATTTTTCTTTTGTTCCCAGTTGGTGGTTTAACTCTTCACAGGCTGCCAACAACTGTCTTGTCAAAAGAAGAAACCCTGCGGTTTCATCTGTTCGCAGCTGAAAACCTGCTCAGAAGGTGCGTCTTGTTCATTTAAAGGTAAAATCCACAGGGCAAAGTAAGACGTGAGGTGCAGCGGCAGTTCAGGCTAAAATGTTTAAGTGTGTGCACGGCTGTCATTTCTTAATGTAACAACCTCTTAGTGGCAGAGAACAAAACGCTAATTTCAGCTCGTTGTCATTAAAGACATTTCGTCAGGATGGGGAGCAGAGAGACCCGGTTCTGTCCCGACTAAAGAGGGAGCAAAGGTTGTTGTTTTATATTACCTTTTGTGAGCAAAATAACATTTTCCACACTCAGAACCTGTCAGGAATTGATGTGTGTGGGGGTGCAACGGCAACCGCTAAATGGAAAAATAGAAATGTTAAAAAAGTGTAAAGTTGGAGCAAATAGTGCTGAGTTCATACTGTTAATGACGTGTTTGTTGTGGCTTGTAGTTTTGTGAGAACTGGCTGACCCCTCGCAGACCTTCTGTCGAGGTCAGCCTCCTTCAGCTCCGCTGAAAGCCACAACACATTAACACCAAACACCAAGCCGACGCTGCCTATCGGGCCGCGATTTGCTCTTTTAGCACGATTGGTAACATTTTTATTTTATTTTAAAGCTAAGGCTCATGCTTAAATAAGATAATAATCGACAGATTTCCAGGAGCTTTAAGCAGCAGCAGGCCTCAGAGCGGGACTGGACTATCTGCTGCAGATTCTTGAGTTGGATACGAGGAAGAGATGCAGCTCAGTGATGCTGGACTCACAGGGACTGGGAACGTTTCACAGCATTTACATCATCCAGTAACGCTCAGCAAAACAAGTTAACTCTCATTGACACCTTTTAGAAACAACGCCCTTTTTAAACGGATGAAAAATACTAATGTAATGTGGCAAATAGCAAAGCATCACTGCATCTTTCAAATACTGAAATCAGTAAGCTCAGAATTTGTAATGTTTTTTTTCTTCATTTTTTTGTATTATAAAACAGTTAACACTGTTTGTTTTCTGTAAAAATAAAATTCTTATTTTCTTCACTGATAACTTTAATTTACAGTGTAAATTTTCAAGGTACATGAACAAAAGGTTGACCATTTAAAATACTGAACCTGCAGAATAATTATGGTGTTATTTAAAATAAATTATTATCATCATTATTATTATTATTATTATTGTTATTATTAATAATAACAATACCTTGCTCTATCACAAATCAAGTGGTCCTGAAGGATTGCAAGTATCTCAAGGTCATAAAGGTAGTTTTAGGTTTTAAAAATGTGTTTTCAATTGAATACTATTTCCTTTTTCAATTTTCTGCATTAAAATAAATTATTCACAAAATCACTGAAGTTGGAGGCAAAACGTACCTGAGTTTCAGACAGATTGAGCTGCCGGGCCAGTTCTGTCCGCTCCCGTCCGACCACATACTGGCACCTCTGAAACTCCATCTCTAAACGGTAGAGCTGCTCTGCGGTGAAGGACGTGCGGGTTCGCTTGGGTCGGTCCAAATCCAAACCCTTCGGCAAAATGATCTCCCGGATAGAACCTTTAGCATCTGCAGCATGGAGCAAATCCAGTTAATAAGAAGTCAGAAAACATTTTCATATACAAGTTATTTTTATTATTATTATTATTATTATTATTATTATTATTATTATTATTATTATTAT